CTATCTATCTATCTATCTATCTATCTATCTATCTATCTATCTATCTACAAAGTATCTGTCTGTATGTCTGTGTATCTGATGATCTGAGTGTAATACTCTGGCATGAAAGGCAGCAGGTTATCTGCTATCCAACAAGGAGTGCTAGGCCTTTAGTTTTCTATTTGCATTTGTTTTAAAACTTCATATTTCCTCAGCAGCTACATGGAAACACAGATACAGATTTATTTCTAACAATTAGGCTGTATGACATGAAACAAATAAAACAAACGATTAAGATAATATTGTACAATAATATCATAATAATACCAATAGCAATAAACTCACATTTACCTGGTACTTCTTTCTGCTTTGTAATAAGTTATCTGCATTATTATCTCAACCATAATAAACGGAAATGGATATTTTTATTAACCTTTATTTAACCAGGCAAATCCCACTGAGATCACAGATCTCTTTTGCAAGGGAGGCCTGGGCCTGAAGTCAGTCTAACATGCATGTTTTTAGACTGTGGGAGGAAACCGGAGTAATCCTAAACAAGCACAAAAAGAACATGCAAACTCCACACAGAAAGACCCCAGGTCGAACCAGGGATTGAACCCAGGACCTTCTTGCTGTGAGATAACAGTGCAAACCACTGAGCCATCATGCTGCCAAATTTGACTTCAATATTTGACTTTTCACTTACATCAAGGTAAGTGAGAAGTCAAACGTTGAAGAACATAGAATACACTACCCACTGATTTATGACAGTCCTTTATTGTTCATGATGATGATAAATTATGTTTATTCTTTCAAGCTCTGCTGGTGATTTGTGTGTACAGCCTTTCACCTCCTTATGCTTAGCCTCACCCAGTTTGAACAAAGACAGCAGAACGGTTTCTAATACACCTTATAAACAAACACTGCAGCTATAGATTGACACACCTTAAACAGGAATTCATCACAAAGGTCAATAGATGTGAAAATTGCAGCATTTCCATAAAGCACCAAAAGGTTTTGGCAATGTCAATGCATCTGCCTTAACATTTAACTTTAAAATAAGGTCAGGCAGATGCAGGAAGTGAGTACCTTTAACATTTCTGGTCCCAAAAACTCGATCAGTGGGGGCACCTTGGATTCACTTTTACTCCCTGTGCCCTCTGCAATGATCTTCCTCAGCACACCAACCATCCAGTTAAAACCTGTACACGGACACATTTACACATTTCAAACCATGTGTCTTAAAATAGTACCTTTCAAATTCAAGACAGAATGTTAAAAACCTAAAAAACATGAAACATCAGCTTCATACAGTCAAATAAATGTCCATATTTATCTCATTTATTTATTTATTTATTCATTTGTGTTTTCATTTGTCTATTTATTCATTATCAAACGGACAGACTTTTATCAAATTGACAGATTGAATAGACGCTGAGAAGACTGACTGAGGGTGAATTGGGTGCATTCACACTAGCCCTGTTTAGTCCGCTTTAATCGAACTCTAGCTCGTTTTCCTAGAAAGTCCGGTTCGTTTAGGGAGGTGTGAACGTGCCATCGAACTCTGTCATGGAACAAAAAGGCGAACTCTGGCCCGGGCTAAAACCTAGGTCTCGGGTCGTTTTCACACTAGATAGTCCGGTAGACTCGGTTAGGTTCAGGACCAATATTCATGAGCTTTTGTTTACATTTGAGCTGGTGCCTTTGCATTCACACTGCACTGTGCAGTCGAGTCAACCTGTTGAAACAACCTATTCCCCCGCTCGCCTGTGGGGGCGCTGCACCAAGAACTATTGAAAGAAATGACACAAAAACCTCTGAAGACACGTCTTCTTCTTCTTCTTCTGGAAATAAAAATAAAAACGAAGTGGCATCAAGTTTTAGCAGTTTTAGGAGTTATATTTTGTCATTTTTCAAAAATGGACTTAGCATGAGCAGAAGATGAGACAGAAGACCATGGAGAATATTGTTTTTCCACACAAGGCAGCTGACGGCTCCATATAAGGTCAGAGCAATGCGTGTTTGTTTACCCTGCGGAGCGGGGTCCGGTCTGTTTACATTCACACTTTACTCGAACCGCGCTGGAGTTCTCTTCTACCGGACCGAGACCTAGGTTTTAGCCCGGGCCAGAGTTCGCCTTTTTGTTTCGTGACAGAGTTTGATGGCGCGTTCACACCTCCCTAAACGAGCCAGACTTTCAAGGAAAACAAGCTAGAGTTCGATTAAAGCGGACTAAACAGGGCTAGTGTTAATGCACCCTTGGTCCGGTAGAAGCGAACTCCAGAGCGGTTCGAGTGCAGTGTGAATGTAAACAGACCGGACCGCTCCACAGGGTAAACAAACACGCATTTCTCTGACCTTATATGGAGCCGTCAGCTGCCTTGTGTGAAAAACAATATTCTCCATGGTCTTCTGTCTCATCTTCTGCTCATGCTAAGTCCATTTTTGAAAAATGACAGAATATAACTCCTAAATCTGCTAAAACTTGATGCCACTTCGTTTTTATTTTTATTTCCAGAAGAAGAAGAAGACGTGTCTTCAGAGGTTTTGTGTCGTTTCTTTCAGTAGTTCTTGGTGCAGCGCCCCCACAGGCGAGCGGGGGAACAGGTTGGTTCAACAGGTTGACTCGACTGCACAGTGCAGTGTGAATGCAAACGCACCAGCTCAAATGTAAACAAAAGCTCATGAATATTGGTCCCCAACCGAACCGAGTCTACCGGACTATCTAGTGTGAAAATGACTGAGATCCACCTTCTCATAGATGATCCCAGGCCAGAGAGGATATATGATGCCTAATACTTTTGGGGTTTCCACAGGGTGGTATGTGTTGAAAAACCATTAGAGGCAAGTCCCCTAATCAGAGGCCCAAACCACCTCAGCTGACTCATTTTGATGTGGAGGAGCAGCAGCTCCACCGATCTATTGGTCCATCTTTCTCTCCATCCTACTCTTGTATTGTATCATTAATAATATCAAATATTTTATTGGATCATAGTATCATTTTGTACTGCATTGTATGAATTTGTGCAGTTTAAAATTATATAATGTAACATTTTGTTTCACAATTTCATATTGTTTTGAATATTTTAAATGATTTTATTGTTTTATATGGTATTATCATGTTTTCTGCCCTGTCATACTCTAATCCTAGCCTTGCTCTCCAACCACGCCCCTCTACACAATCAAGCTCATTCTGTCCACCTGTTCCAAGCCTTACTTAAGCCTCATGCTCACAGTCACTCTCTGCCAGATTATCAAACCCACTGTGGAAGTAGATGTCCAGCAATGTTTTGTTTATTGTCTTATATTGGGTTTATCTTTTATTGTGTGTGTGTGTGTGTGTCCTTGTTTATGCTACTTTGTGAGGCCCATTTTTCCAACTTATACTACATTGTGGGGACCAACTGCTCCTTATGGGGCCCAAAGCCCGGGCCCCATAAGAAGAAGTCCCGTTGGTGGGTTAGGGGCTAGGTTTAGGACTAAGGTGTGAATTGAGGATGTGTTAGGTTTAGGGTTAGGTATGTACTGGTAATGGTTAGGTTATGGATAAAGGTCATGGTTAGGCTATAGAAATTAATGAAAAATGAATGGAAGTCAATGCAAAGGCCCCATAAAGATAGCAAAACAAACCGCCGTGTGTGTGTGTGTGTGTGTGTGTGTGCGTGCGTGCGTGCGTGCGTGCGTGCGTGCGTGTGTGTGTGTGTGTGGCATGACTATCCTTCCTGGAGTGATAAAGAATTATATTATGGTACAGAAAATGTACCCTTTCACAATAAGAATGGTGAAAAAGCAAATAGCTAATTCCCTCAATAGCACCAAAACAGCCATCATTTAAGGTTCAAACAAAAAATATAAAGCATTATAAAAAAGATTCAAGCTAATGCTTTTTTTTCTCAGTGAACTTCACAAAGCTGCTATCTATAGTCCAAGTTTTATTTAGCTGCATTCAGCCTTTTCTGTCCAACCAAAACAAAGGCCTTTTTTTTTCCTCAAACAGCCTTTCATTACTTAAATGGGAAGGATATAACGTCACACTGACAAAGATCTCCCTTCGTAGGCCCCCCGGTAAAGCACACCCAGGCAAATTTAGCATTCCTCCTCCTGATTCTCATCTGTCTTTGACATTTTCTCCCTGAATGCTTGCATGCAACAAGCTTCCTGAAAGAAAAGCAAACTCTCCGAAACATGTTACATAAACAAAACGTATCACATTCCTGAAAGGCACCACAGGAACAGCTGGATTAGTGCACAAACACAGAATTTACAGCTGGAACGCCACAAAACTTTCAAAAACCCAAAGATCTTCCCAGTATTCCCGCACTATCTTTTGCTTTTCAAGGCACATGAATTATGTCCCTTTGGGTTTCCATATCAGGGAGCCCCTACAGGTTAAAAACCAATGCCCTGGGCTTTAGATCAGTTTACAATCTCGGAGTGTTTTCATTCATACTTATCCAACCAGTTTCAGTCTCAGTCAGAGTCACGAACACTGACGTGAGACACACATACAGTAGGTGAAAGGTGGACAGGGTTTGAACCCTTTTCTTTCTCTATCTGCAGAAAACGTCAGTGAACCTGAAGTACTGGCTCATAAAAGTTTGTCATGCATAAAGATAAAGGGTTAGACTCCTGACCTGGTTTACAGCTGATAACGATCCTTGCTGTTCCTCTGCACGGAGGGTTGTGTGTAAAGGTTGTGTTTAATTTTGTTCATTCATTTAAATGGAGACCTTCCATCAGTGCAGCAAGAGACGACACAGAGGACGCATCAAGAAAAAGTACAAATTCAACTTTGTTACAGATCTGTTTTCCGAAAACTACATTTTAAAATACAAATAGTACTCTCACCTCACAATTATGCCAACTATACAACTAAAAGTCTGTGTAAAAGCATACATTTATTGCTGTGTTTGGATTTTTAAAAACTAAATGGTGAATGTAAAAAAAAAACCAGATATGAAGCCATCAAAAGTCAAAGCATCACTTTTTTCTTACTTTAACTTTTATTAAGGAGTTCATTTTGCTCTTACTCACCACATTTGGGATAGGCTATCAGCATGATGTCGTCTTCTCTAGCCTTGATGTTATCTAGACACTTTAAATGCTCCTCAGGACACATGAGTGTGGGGTACAAGACCCCATTAAATCTGTACACCTTCTCCTCTTCAGTCATTGTCTTGGCCTTCTCTAAGTTGGCCCGCATTCTGCCTTGGAAGGTGTTGTCACCCATCCTGGTCTTTGATGGATCTGATACTACAGACAAGAACCAAAAAGCAACTGCAGCTCTCCAAGGAATCAGGCAGAGTGGAATATAAAGCTGCCTTGTGCTCTGTTTCATAATGTGTGACCAGACCAGAGAACAGGAAGAGGGAGTGTTCTGCTGTTCTAGGAGGAGGAAACACTAAGCACCTCCTCTGAACATACATGCAGGAAAATGTGTTGATTCAAAGAGAAGTAAGCCATAAATGTTCACCAGCCTTTTTTCAAATCACACATTCCTGAACTGTAGATGAATTCAGATAACTCAGAGGAAAACAACTTTCTAGGAATTTAAAAGCAGGATGTCATGAGATCAGTGCAAGAAAGAGAACTGGAAGTTTGCTGCCTCACTTCTTGCAATGTCTCTGTTCTGTTGCTGTTATTACGTTTAAAACTCTTTGACAGCGGAAAGCAGAAAAGACCTTGTTAGAAAGACAGGGAGTCCCTTTAAGTGGGAGATCATAGGAGACCTGATTCTGGACCACTGGGATGCACATGATAAAAATGTACTTTATGTGTTGTGAGTGGCCAGTAAAAAAACAATAACCAATAAATGGCTAAGAACCAAGCCACCCACCCAGCACTGATGATTGGATTGAAACAGTACACAATATATTTTTAATGGAAAAACTGTCCTGTTCTCTAAAGGTGCAAATAGATAAATTTTATTCAATTTGGAGTAAATGGACTGAATATGTCAAACCTGTCAGATCAGACTTTATGTAATTGTATTCGTAATGAGGATTGATTGTCATTGTTTTTGTCTTTGATTCAATCTGCACTCTACTTCCTACTATGCTGCCCCATTCTTTCTCAACACCCTTGAATTTCGATTCCTCAGTACTACACATGACCTTCTCCCCCCACCCCCACTCCCTCCCACACACACACAATTTAATTTCGTTTTTTTTTTATAATAATTTTTTTTGAAAGATAAATGATGTAATGAAGACATGTTTTCTTTAATTGTTTGTGTATTTTCCCCAAATAAAGAGAATATATATATATATATATAAAAAAGAAAGACAGGGAGAAGAACCAAATTCCATAAAATGGAGGTTCAGCATTTGCTGAAATAAAGTGGATGACCTGTTGACGACATCAACAAGACAATAACCTAAACAAGAGGATCGGTTTCATCCAGACCAGATCTGTATGCTATGGGCCTTTTGTCTTCTCACCACTTGTTTAATTAATTATTAATTTAATCAGTTTAATTACAGCTTTAACAAACAGTAGTATGGTTGGGCCATGGGATCTCCAGTGTCACCAATTGTGAACAGTTTCAACTTGGAGGAAAATAAATCTCTGAACAAGAAACAACACCAAGCCACTGGTTCAGATACGTGGATGACACTTGAATCAAAATCCAAGCTAAAAACGTAAAAGTGTTCACCAGAAACATCAACTCTTTTGACAACATCAAGTTCCCCAGAGAGGACGCTAACAAAAACAAAACTTAAATAAATTTAAATACTTGTGTATCTTGGTCGATTCACATCTCTCTTTTAAACCCCATGTCGAAAACTTGGTAAGGAAACAGAAAGTTAAACTGGGTTCCTTTTTCAGAAACAGATCCTGTCTAGAATGCTAGGAAACGCCTTGTAACTTCTAGTTTCCTTCCTCCCATTGACTACGATGACATTATTTACATGAACGCCGCAAGCACCCTGCAGATATTGGATGGTGTCTGATCACGGTGCACTAAGATTCATAACTGGCTATAACTACCGTACCCATCACTGCACCCTGTATTCACTGGTTAACTGGTCATCATTAACTAGGCACAGACTCAGGACTTTCAGACATAGGCTGATACAGCCTACGGACAAAAACCCCAAACACAGACTGAACAGTGTGGTGTGAATGGAATATTCAGACCACTCCACAGACAAATGGCTTAACAAGACAGGACAAGACTCAGCTGTGCACCTATGCTTCAAGTATAATGGACACTCTTTCGAGGACCAAAAATGTTCATATTTTGGACAGAGAAGAGAGGTGGCTTGAGAGGGGGTGAAGGAAGCCATTTATGTCAAATATGAAACAACTTTAAACAGACAAGGAAGTCTCAGAAACGTACAATGGAACTTTAGTATGACAGCACGATGGCTTAGCACTGTTGCCTCTCAGTAAGAAGATCCTGGGTTCAGTCTCCAGGTTTGGCCTGGGATCTTTCTGTGTGGAGTGTGCACGTTCTCTGCATGTTTGTGTGGGTTTTCTCCAGGTACTCAGGTTTCCATGCTGCCTTCAGGCCTAGACCTCCCTTGAAAAAGAGATCAATGGGATTTGCCTGGTGAACAAAAGGTTAATAAACTTAAACCTGATACCACGCCACTTTCCCTCTAGTTCATACTTTCATGCATGTGACCAAAAGCTCTGTTTTGAGAGCCAAATTAACAAAGACCCTAACAACTCTGAACTGGGAGGGCAGTGAGAATAATATGCATGTGAATTTAGCCGCATAAACGGAGCATTTCATGCATTTAAAGCTTGCAACTCCAATCTCTTCAGTTTTGAACTGAGAAAGGGAGGAGACACCACTGCTGAACCATTGACCAATATCTAAACTCTGTATTATTGATAAGGTTTTAGAAAAATGGATAAACTCCCAAGTCAAGAAGTATTTGGCTTATTTCACCATCTTATCTCCCCATCAATCTAGTTTCAAGAAACAACACAGCACAATGACTGCTTCGTTGAAGGTTTTTAATGATATTGTTGAAGGATGGATGCTAAGATCATTGTGCTGCACTTTTCTTAGACCTGTCTAAAGCTTCTTTTAGTGTTTGTAAAAAAATTATACCATGAGTCAGGTGTTTTATCTGATGTATAAAAAGGGGAAACCACTTCCGGTTCAACAAGTTCATGAATTGTGAACAGAATGTAAAGTGATGTAACTGGAATGTGATTCAAATTTACAGGTCTCCCTTTAAAAATGAGTCCTTGTGGCTCAATAAGACTAACCTGAATAAATAAAGGTTGAAGGAATTTAGAACTGTATATTATTCATATTTATTAGATGAGAATAAATATAACCACAGGTTTCTGTTCAGTACTAGAATACTAGTACTTGTATTTGTGCAGCTAGTCTAATGAAAAATCCCATCTCTGTTGAGCCATGTATCCCTACAGTATAAGCAGTGATGACTTCATAAGATTCTTTATAAATAAAATTATTTCAGTTAGAGAAAATTCACACCATCCTTCCTACTATTGCCTCCTTCTCTGTTAGATGAGGCAGCTTTAAAATGTCACTAAAACCTGATTTATGTTTGGACTATTTTTGTCCTGTTGATCGCTCTCTCTCTCTCTTTTTTTCCTTTCGGCTGCTCCCTTCTTCAGGGGTCGCCACAGCGAACTAACTTGCACAAAGACTTGGCAGTTATTTGTACGCTGGAGGCCCTTTCTGACACAACCACAGACCACCGAGCTACCACAGCCCTCCTTGTGGAGCAGAGAGCTGTTATCTAGGGCACCCAGGGGAGCCGATGGAAGGGGTTAAAGGCCTTGCTCAAGGGCCCAAAGTGGGGCAAATGAGGGTGGAGGCAGGTGTGGGTGCTTCATCTATCCCACACACATTTTGATGTTGTTGGTACTAGGAGTTGAACCGGCGATCTTCTGATCACAGGCCCACCTTCTCTAACCTCTGCGCCTCCACTCCACTTTCCTGTTGAACACTCTGAATTGTCAAAAATAATAGCTTCATCTAAACCATCCACATGTCTGCTAGATCCCATCCCAACCAGACTGTTTAATTTATTTCACTTAATTAATGTCCACATTTTGGATCTGCTTAATTTGTCTTTAATGAATGGTTAAATACCACTGCACTTCAAGGTTGCTGTAATTAAACCTTTATTTAAGAAACCTGATCTTGATTCAAAAGATCTGGCCAATTAAACACCTTTCTCTAATTTAATTTTCATCTAAAAAAACATTGAGAAAATAATTGCAGGTCATTTGCGTGAACATCTGAACAGCAATAATCTGTTTGAAGAATTTCAGTCAGGTTTAGAGCTCATCACAGCACTGATGAAAGTCACTAATGATATTCTCATAGCCTCTGACAACGGACTTGTGTCTATACTGGTCCTGTTAGACCTCAGTGCTGCATTTGATACAGTTGATCACAATATTCTACTACAGAGACTTGAATATGATATTGGGATTACAGCAATGGCTCTAAAATGGTTTAAGTCTTATTTGTCTGATAGATTCCAGTTTGTAAATGTAAATAATGATTCCTCTTACACCAAAGTTAGTCATGGAGTTCCTCAGGCTTCAGTACTTGGACCAATACTCTTTAATATGCTTCCATTAGGTAAAGTTATGAAACAGCATGGGATACATTGTCATTGTTATGCTGATAATACTCACTTATATTTGTCCATGAAGCCAGATGAATCCAATCAATTACTTAGTCCACAAGCATGTCTTAAAAACCTAAAAACATAAATGACCCTCCATTTTCTTTTTTTAACCCAGCCAAGACTGAGGTTGTGGGTTTTGGGTCTGAGCATTTTAGGAATAAACTTTGCAGCCTTTCTGCTTGTATCCTGAGGCTGTTAGACTCATGAATCCCTAACCAAGATAATCACTGTGAAATAATCACTGTAATGCCACTTGATTGTTTATATCTGCTGCTGATTATCCATGCTGCTGATTTATTCATGCTGCTGTGTTCATTTGTACTCATCTGCTCACACAGACTCGTGCGCTGCTGTTTGGCGTGTTGTATTTGTACAACTAGTGCTTAGTGTATGTTTAGTTTAACATATTTCTTATTTCATATCTTAGATCTTATTACTATTTTTCTTTACTATTTATACTTTTGTTGGATGTAACTTGGACCCTGTGTACACAATTTCATTCGCACCACATGTGACAAATAAAGAACCTTTGACTTGACTTTGACTTCCTCGTTTTGGCATTAATCTGGCATCCAGCTCTAATATAAAAAATCTCTGTGTAATTTTTGATCAGGATGTCTTTTAACCCCACATTAAAAACATTGCCAGGACCGCTTTCCTCCACCTGCGTAATATCACTAAGATTAGAAACATCTTGTCCAAAAATGATGCAGAAAAACTGGGCTGTGCATTTATCACATCTAGACTGGACAATTGCAACGGTTTATTATCTGGGTATCCAAAAAAATTATTTAAAAAGTCTTCAGTTAATCCAAAATGCTGCAGCTCATTAAAACTCTAATGAAATCCAACAGAGATCATATCTTTTCAGTTTTAACTTCTCTCTGTTGGCTCCCTGTCAACTTCAGACTATAATTCAAAATCTCACTTCTAACATACAAAGCTCTCAACAACCTAGCTCCGTTTTATACTGAAGAACTTATTGTTCCATATTTTCCCAACAGATCACTTTGCTGTCAGACGGCAGGTTTACTTGTGGTTCCCAAAGCTTCCAAAAATAGAATGGGAGGCAGAGCTTTCAGTTATCAGGCTCTTCTCCTGTGGAACACACTTCCAGTTTCTGCCCATGAGACTGATGCATTGTCAGCTTTTCAGAGTCAGAGTTTCTTTATTGTCATTCGCACCTCATGTGGTACTGTCTAGTACCCAGTTGCAAATGGAGGGGCTTAGTCCTAGTGTGGATAGTTTGTCCATCAGGGTTTGGGGGATCATGGTGTTGAAGGCGGATGTGAAGTCCACAAAGAGCATACAGACGTAAGAGTTTTTCTTCTCCAGGTGGTTGAGCGCAGTGTGGACCACAGAGGAGATGGCATCCTCTGTTGATCGGTTCTCACGGTATGCATACTGATGAGGGTCCTCATTGATGTTGATGGTTGTTTTGATGTGAGTCATGACCAGTTTTTTAAAGCTTTTAGCGACTATTGGGGTGAGGGCCACTGGCTGATACTCATTCAGACCAATCACTGTAGAGCTTTTTGGGACTGGGATGATGGTGGCAGTCTTCAGGCAGGTAGGAACTGTCTCCAGGATGAGTGAGGTGTTAAAGATGTCTGCCAGCACCTCGCAGAGCTGATCGGCACATTCTTTCAACACTTTTCCGGGGATGTTGTCTGGGCCGGTTGCCTTGTGCGGATTAATCCTCCTGAAAGTACTCCTTACTTTGGCTGAAGGTACTTTTAAGACAAGGCTTAAGTTTTTTTTCTTTTTCATAAATCCCTTAGGGTTTGTTTTGGGTTTCCTGAGCTATCCTTTAGTTATTCTGCTATAGGCTTTGAAGACAAATTGACCACATTTCCTCACTCTGCTGCTGTCTTTACTATCCTTAACATGTACTTTTTTGTCTTTCCTCCTATAGGAAGTACACCTGGATTTACCATTTGGTGTGTGTCTGTTTCTCCTTCCTCTCATCTCAAATCCCAGCCACCCATAGCAGATGGCCCCTCGTCCTGAGGCTGGTTCTGCTGGAGGTTTCTTCTTGTTAAAAGCAAGTTTTTCCTTTCCACTGTGGCCAATGCACTTGCTCAGGATGGGAGACTGTGATGAAGTGAAGATTCAACACAATCTGCTGATTAACTTTGGCTAATTGGCTTTTTTGTTCTTTTAAGTAAGTGAATGTTTCTGTGCCCTGAGATGACTTCTGTTGTGACTTGGTGCTATATAAATAAACTGAAATGAACTGAATTGAATTCAATATTGCTTTCCAAATTAGAACTATAGGTCACAACAATATGTTAACCCAAAGGCCCACCTCTTAAAGTCATGGGTCACCACTGCAAAGCCCAATATAAATATTGTAAAGGACTGCAATAAATCATACACATTCTATTTCAGTTATCATGCTTTCTTATTCTGCATGCTAATAATGTTTTTCAATCTAACAAATTTTCACTCACCTGTTGCCCACACTTGATTTAGGTGATAGTAATAACATAAGAGAAAGTGAGACATAAGGAAAATGTGGGTTTATTACAACTGATGTTGTCATAACAATATTAAATGATAATGTTGAACATTGCAATTTTTTCCAACGTCATGAATATCTATTTTATAGCATTACATTTTTTTGCATCACAAACTGAAACACATGCAAACTAATTATAAATGTCATCTCACTCAGATGTGCAAATTATAGTTTAATGAGGACTGTAACTGGTTTGTATGTGGATTAGCAGTCGCTTCACGGTGTTGGGTTAGAACAGCTATATATGTTCAGGTGAGTTGAGGTAAAAGAAGAGAATGTTTAGGTTCTGGGTTTAACTTGAACTTGTCTTTAATTAGACTTGTGCATGAACATTAACACTCCAGGGTGTCTTGAGTGTGGTTTTCTACAAGAAAATAAACTAGATATAAATTATAGTCTATGAGAATTCGTATTACAATACAATTTAAATGTCAGTATAGAAATAAAAATAAGACCTGGTTGATAATTAGTTATGAAAATGCATGCACAGTAATTAACTTAGTATATATATCACACAACAGAGTGATGTAATTTTATGCCAATGCCTTGTCTATATACAAGCATTTCAGTTGGAAAATATGAGCCAGAGTGGCCGAAATAAAAACTACAAAAAAACAATTCTAAACTGCAGATGTACTAAACCAGCGAGCTGAAAACAAGCAAATAACAGTCTTATGTACAGTTTGGATTTTGTTACATCTCATTACACCACCTAATTAAGGATTTATTTTATTATGTGTGAGCGTGTCCATAAATCCAAATTCACAATTTGTGATGTTCTTGTTTTGTGTTTTAATTGGAAAGCACACTGAGTTGTTTTACAGATAAAATGTGATACATAAATAAAGTTGGACTGGACAGTGGCCATTTAAAAAAAAAATAAATTAAACATAGATGTTTGTTTATTTGTTGGCGGAACGCGTATTCCGTACAGGGTGCTTTACAGGAAGTTGTAACGATCTCTGTGAACTCGCGCATGCGCCTTTCGGCTAAAGTCGCTCAGAGGCTCCTGGGTACAGGAAGTCCAAGATGGCGATGGACGGAATGATGTCCACGTCTCCAGGTCTGACTTATCAAACCGCCGGAGATTTTTACCCCCGAAAGTTCGGCCCGAAGCCGGACGTGGTTCCGTCCGGGGTGACGGAACGGAAGGTAGTGCCGCTGGATAAACCTGACATGGTGTCAGTGGACGTCATTAACATCAAGGATCCAGGTTTGTTATGCTAGTGCTAATAGATGTAGAGAGCCGGTGAGTGTCTGGCTCCGTTTGTTTTTTCTGTTTGTAAAGACTGTGAACATTAATTCAGAGTTCAACAATCACATGGATCATATTTTTTATTTAATTGGACCCAGTCATCCGGACACATTGACACTGTCCAGCTTCCGCTGGATAATCCAGTGTTCACATTCAAGAAGATATACCGGTAGTCCTTGCAGAGATTCTGGCTCTGCCCTGGGTTCTCCTCCTACTCCGAGCTCCCCCTTCTGACTCCTCGACCTCTCTCAGGCTGAGCTGAATTTACTCTGCAGAAGAAGTTCTTTTCTTTTCAATCACTTCCATAATCTCATCAGGACTACGTAGATTATACTGTAAAATGTGGGAGTAAAGACAGGACTGTTGTAATGGATATTGGACTGTAGTTTTATGCAGGAGACCCCATAAAGAATGAGTGACTTTTTAAAAACTGATTTTAACAAAACAAGACTAAATTTTGCCTGAAATTGGTGTAAACATTTACAAAACCTTCACTTTAGGCCAATTTTTTTTTTTGTCCAACGTTTGCTAGACATATGCTCATTGTAATTAGATAAAGATCTAACACAGTTTTTAGCACTTCGTTACATCACCACAGCTGAATGTGTCAGAGTAGGAAGCTGGCAGCTAGTGGTGATTTGGACAAAACAACTTGGGGAGGGTTGTGTGGAATGAAGTGATTATTTTAATGTTGTAGTTTCTAACTAAGAAAGTAAATTAAAATCAAAAGACGTGCTTGTGTTTTAATTGATGGGAGTGCTTACGTATTTTAAAAGTAAAAAAAAAACAACTAACACTTGGAGGAGCAGAAACAAAAGGTTTCACTCTCATTTTGGAAAATGAATCGTCTGCTCCCTTCCTCAGGGATCATCTCAGTGAAGTGACTTACACAAAGACAGGGCGATTGTTTTTGCGCCAGATGCCCTTCCTGGTGCAACTACAGCCCACTGAGTTACCACAGCCCTCTGTGTGGTGCAGAGAGCTACCATCTAGGACGCCCAGGGGAGCAGATGGTGGGCCTTGCTCAAGGTCTCAGAGTGGGTCAAATGAGGGTGGAGGCAGGTTTTTACGGAGGCAGGCACATTTTAATGTTGTCGGTCTGGGTAGTTAAACCTTCCGATCACAGGGTCACCTTCTCTAACCTCTGCACCACCACTTCCCCAAGTAACTGCCACCATATGTAAACCGACCCCTGTCATTTGAGGAAACTATGCTTTCTAGTTTTTATATTGCTTGAAAGTAAAGTTTCCTTGAAACTAAGTAAAATTTTACTTTACTATACTCAAGTTAGACCAAACTATACTAAAAGTATTAATTAACCCTACAAGTATAGTTTGGTCCTTGGGGTGGCTAAAAATTAATATATGGTGGCCAAGGCCACCATTTGCCACCCTGGCTTCACGCTGGCTTCACCCTAGCTTCACCCTGGCTTCACCCTGGCTTCACCCTAGCTTCACCCTAGCTTCACCTTGGCTTCACCCTAGCTTCACCCTAGCTTCACCTTGGCTTCACCCTAGCTTCGCCATTGTGCCTGGTTGTGGATAAAACTGCTCCCTCCATTTGTTAGGCTGTGTCACTCTGCGCTGCCTTGGGTAAAAATTAAAACCAAATCTTCTCCCCAGTGTAACTCCTACCCACTTGAATGTCTTGCATCAAAAATATTAAAGTTGCAAGATATATATTTTTTTCCGTTCCAGAAAACACTCATGTCAAAACCTACAAACATTCACTATTTAAATCTCTCAGCGACGGGTCATCGGCGTACAGCTTGTCCTTTCTACAAAAGGTGTCTAAAACACCTGTAAGGCCATTTAACAAAAGATGAGTCCATGTATTTTATGAGTTGTGTAGTCTGTGTCATTCAAGATATGACAATCCAAAGTGGCTAAATAAAATGGAACTGGGCTTCCTTTATGATTTTTAAAGATTTTTGGTTTCGTCTCACCTGAAACACTTGTTCAGTTCTGATCATGAGTCGGGGGTTCCAGGTTTATGTCATTATAACAATCATAATAATACAGTCAATAATGTTACATGAGCTGCCGATGCACCCCTCCATCCTGTGATTGTTGTCAATTGCTGAATGCCTTTTCAGACTGTCCAGTATGTGACATTTTTTATTTTGTTGTTTTTACTAAGAAGAAATATGCATAACCTACAAAACTGTTTTGCCAGCCATATACACTAAAATAAAGACATGATTAACGTACAGTAGATTGCTCATGCAATAGAGTCTCAATGTTTGTGCTTTAATCAAAGTAAAATTCTTCTTGTTTTGGAGTCATTTTAAAATGCACTGATATTTTTCACCAAAGTAAAATATTGAAACACTTCTGCAGCTGCTGCTCTTCTTGAAGCATGCTGCCTAATAAAAGTTTAATTAGTTTACTGTAACCTCCATTCAGAACAAACAGCCAAAATCTAAAAGGAAAAACACAAGGAATGATATAAATATTATGTCTGGGGATTTTATTTTTGACATATCCGATCAATGAGGAAGTTGTTTATCTAATTTCATGAACTTTTATTCATATTTATGAAAGTATTTTGTATAACACAGCTGATTGTTGTTGACCGACTGTGGCTGTGAGCTGTACTCCTGTTTCAAGCAGCTTTTTTAGTTATAACTTCAGGTGTACATTGTTTTGTTTTCATTTAACTATTTTATCGCTTGAGCTAAACAAAGAAATTATACAAGTTCAAGTATTTTTATTGTCATTTGCATCACATGTGGTACATGAGGTGGAACAAAATTATCTACCATATTCTTTTTTACTACAAGGTGCACTGGATTATAAGGCGCATTAAGCAAAATAAGTTCATTTTGACAGATTTTTGAGTGCCGTGTACCACATAGAATCTGTTTGAGGTCAGTAAGCACAACCAGAATTAATACATAAAGCTCACTGTTGATTTTTGAGAAAATTCAAGGATTTTAAGTGTGCCTTTATAGTTCAAAAAATGTGGTACTCATGGTCCCAGTTACACCCAAAAATAGCAAAAATATAAAGTATAACAAAAGAAACAGTATATAAGGATCTAAGCTAAACACTAAACGAATGCTAAGATTCTTATAACGCTATTATTATAGTGATTATTATAATTATAACTATTATAATGCTCAGATTACTAAAATTATACACTATACAAATAAAACTTGTATTTGTTGTCAGCTCATGTAGTTGTTACCTGCCATGCTTGTTTTAAATTAAGTAGGGCTGCAACTATCGATTATTTCAATAATCGATTCATCGGCCGATTATTTTTTTGATTAATCGATGAATCGGCAAAAAACCCCACATTTTAATTTTCACCCCTTTATTCCAATGTCATTGAGAGAAGAGTGTAACCTGGATTAAAAGTGTGGATTATTGTAACCTGGATTAAAAGTGTGGATTATTGTAACCTGGATTAAAAGTATGGATTATTGTAACCTGGATTAAAAGTGTGGTTCATTGTAGTGAAGCCTTCGTCTTCAACCATCGACAGAGGACTCATGTCAGTGACGATCATGTTCAGGATGTTTCATTGAAGACAACTGCTGCTGTGGTGTCCATGATGTCTGTCCATCATGAATGCTGTTGTTGTTTGTTGTTGTTTAGTGGAATGAGAGAGTAAATATGTATTATATCATAATTTACAGCAACTCAAGAAATGCCTTGTTTCACTTACAGCGTTAGGTTCAGGCAAAAGTAGCTAAAAGAGCATTTAAACACACACACAGACACACACACACACACACACACACACACACACACACACACACATATATAATACTTAATTACACACATTTGAGTAGATGTAATAAATTACTTTAATTCCTGTTTAAATGCAATTCATCCTGCCATACCTGCAGTGTCTTCAGACTTTGCCAGCAAATTAAAAGTTGAAGCTTAATCATTAAATTATTATCTTTGTGTTAGATTTATTTATAAATCACATTTAAACACTGCTTGTACCAATTAAATTAAATAAAAAGTAACACACGTTCTCTATCACCGTCATTAATCAGATAAACAAACAAACAAACAAACAGCAGCTTCATCTCCCAGAGAGACTGACGTTACGTTTTCTCTCTTGGAAACAGAACAATGTGTTAAATTGTAGAGACTCACCTGCAACACATGAAGAGTTGTATCAGCTGCAGCTCCTTCCTCCTCCCCGTGACTCCGACATGTTTACGTTTATCTCCGTGGTTCTCCCGTGTCGTGTCGGCGATTTTCAAAGCGGCATGTTTCTCAGTTTTTATCTTTGTGAAGTTCTCCCACACTTTGGAGGACTTGGGTTAAAAAACAGTTTTCTCTGCGTCGGTCATTTGTAAAATTTACTTATTTTGCTTTGAAAAAAGACTCTGCTTTTCTCCCCACTCGCTCTGTTCAACTCGTGCTGCAGAGTTTTTTTCCCCCAAACTTTATTCAGTCTGTCAGCATTGACAATGAACTGCCTGTAAACAAAACGAAACGGCTCCGCAGCGCCGTGAAAGACGCATAATAGCGTAACACAACAAATCAATAATGAAATTCGTTGCCAACGCTTTCAATCAACGATTTTTATCGATTTTATCGATTCGTTGTTGCAGCCCTAATAATAATACCCACAATAATAATAATCCATCCATCCATTATCTTTTATCCGCTTCTTCCATTTTGGGTCATGGGGGCCGCCGGTGCCCATGGCCAGCAATCACTGTGCGAGGGGCGGGGGACAACCTGGACGGGTCACCAGTCCATCACAGTGCCACATAGAGACAAACGAGATGAACAACCATTCAGTCTCTTACTCTCACCTAGTGACAATTTAGTTAACAATCAGCCTAACATGCATGTTAGAGAAAACCCACGCATGCACGGAGAGAACATGCAAACTCCACCCAGAAAGGCCCCTGGACACGGAATTGAACCAGGGTAACCTGCTCGATGAGAGGCAGCAGCTCTACCAGTTGCGCCACCGTGCTGCCT